AAACCGTCACTAAATGAATTATTGTAGGTCAAGGGCTACCTATAATACACTGACAGGAAGTCAGTCCTAGCCTGCTGCTTTTTTGCCTGCCCATTGGCATTCTGTTTTTCTGCTTAGGTAAGGAAATATCTCTGAAAGGAAGACCCAATGACCATGGGTTGTCTACTAATTAACAAAGTGAGGATACTTCATTTGAATCTACCATACCTCATCATAGATTAGATTTGGCCCTTGTTACTTTTATCATAAATTTGTTACTATTGTTGTTGCTCTTTTTAGCATATTAACATAAAAAATGAATTCATTTTGCTTCAACTCATGTTTTTGAATGTTCCCAGGGGACAGACACTACTATGCTAAACAAAATCAACTTGCACCATGGCAGAAGCAAAATCTACATTCCTCCAAAGAATGTCCATGATACAATTTTTGCTATTAACCATTTTGCTGGTATTGTTTATTACCAGTCAGAAGGTGAGTTTCAGCTTCTTTTCCATTGGTTAATAGATATTTTTTGTTCCAGGATCAATACCAGTAAGGAGATTATCTTACTATAAATAGTTTTAATCATTGTTACTTAAGTCATCTCCCCACTAGTGATTTATAGCATCTTTAAGCCATTGTTGTAAAGCCTGATCTGAATATTTTTTTGTTTTGGAACAATGATGATTAGACAGTCTAGCAAATGCAAGAAACTTGGGTGGTTCTTCACTTGTTCCAGTCCTAGCAATCTCTTTTTTCTGCCATGTCCTCATGATATTTTCTTTGTCTCACCAGCCCATATCAGAAATTGCATAAAGAGTATAAACAACCCTTACTAGTGCTGGTTTTAAAATAGGTTTTTCCTCTTGCTCTGACACAACTCTTTCTGCAAATAGGATCTGGCATATTGAGTATTTGTTGTTGATGAGAGCAGGCTTCAGAATCTGCTTCTGAAATAGCTTCTGTTGGCCTCTTGAGGGCATTTCTGTTCTTTCTGATTGCTGTTGTCTTCCAGAACTGGTTTGGCTGGAGATGCAGAACAGACTGGACACCTGGATTACAAACAGGCATATGCCCATGTAGTGCATGACTGGCACTTTCTGAAGCGCTTGTCAGGTCACATGCAGGCTCCTTAAAAACATGAGTTTATTGATTTTTAAAAAGAGTGCCAGTCCTTGTATTGCACAGAAAATTGATTTAAACCAGAAAAGTGAGCTGAGTTATGCTAGTTGCATATTACTACTTCTGTCTTACAGGAGCGTCAGCACAAAGGGGCTTTGTGCAGCTGTACTTCTTCCTGGTTTTATTACTTGTTTTAAGCACCCAAGAGTCTCATACAACTGCAGTTTCTAAATCCTCTATTTGTACAATGCATCATAGTTACTTATATCTTCATAGTGCGTGGGAGAAGCAGGGGCCATTTGGGCACTCTGCTCGGGTGTTGGCAGCATAGGATGCTGTGAAAGCTTCATGCCAGACACAATAATAAATCTTGACTCTCCAGACATTTAACTCCATATTTAGGAATTAGAAACTGTCTATGGCAGAAGATGACAGACTTCACATGACTAGATAAGTTTCCTTATTACAGCTCAGAAAAAAGCCATATAGAAATGGAAAATCTGCTTTCTGCAGTACTTAGAAATCAGAATGTGTCCATATATGTATATATGAATGTATGTATTCCAAGATTTAAGGACTTCTTCTGTCTTTTTTATTCATTGGAAATTTGACTGCTCTCTTTTTGGCCTTGACATTAAAAAGTATTTGATCAATATTTACATTATGGTTCAGTCTCATCTGAGAATTTGTCAGGTAACAGGTGTGTCATGAGTAGAGATTGCTCAAAACAAGAACATTAAGAGCACTTTCTGCTATTTCACCCTGTACACCTCCCTCCCCTGCTATCAATAGATTGTTACATGACAGGTAGCAAAACTCACCTGCCCCATCCCGTAAGGGAGAGTGATTGGCATTGCTTTTTTAATTGTCAGATACTTGGTGAGAGTGGAAACAATACCAGGGCAATTCAACATTTTTTAAAAAAAATTGTCAATAATAAATGAGGACAGAATGATGTTCAAGGCTTGTAACTGTGGCAAAATATGTGTTGGGAAAAATATAGGCAATAAAACCTATGTCAGTATACTTTTTTTGCTAGCTCAGTGACTAATATCTAGAACTTCCAGCCCTACACTTCTTTCATTTGCAAAGAATTGGTTTAAATGGAGTGGTGAAAACTAGCTATCTGTGCAAGGAAAAGGCTTAACCTAATAAAATGACCATGAAAATGCAATTAACATCAAATGGAAAGAATACATTTATTGTGTTTCTTCCCCACAGGTTTCCTTGAAAAAAATCGTGATATGCTTAGCTCAGACATAATGCAACTTGTTTATTCATCCAAAAACAAATTCCTCAAAGAAATCTTTCAGGTGGACACAAGTATGCATGTGCTGCCTTTTGGCCGTGGGACCATTAAGCACCTTGGAAAGGATTCCTTGAAGGTTAGACTGAT